TGCGTATCAGTTCTTTTGATTTGTGTTTTGTCATCAGTACTTACACGTTAGGTAAAGTACTGGTTAAGCAGGTACTAGAGCACATCAAGTTAAGTAGGGTTGATCAAACGTTACGGAATTGTAACACGCATCCCTACAAGTTCTTTCCGTACCAGTGTTTGAAAGTATTGTAAGCCATCAATGGGGAATGTACATGTTACCCTAATGTCTCCGAAAAACAAAAACGGTCTTTCGTATGAGAAACAGCTGTAGAGATAGTTAGCGAAAACAGCGAAAAGCGAAGGACCTAACACACAACCACTACTTAGACCAGATGTTATCGCTTATGGTTTTGAAAGATAGGACCCAATTCTCACTACTTGCTGACGATTGGTAAGTCAGGATATGCTCCAACACAGAAAACGTTATTCTGATTGGTAGATATGCAGTTTCTGTAGTAACGAAGAAATGGTCAATGAGATCAAACGCCTTAAATATGTCAAAATAAGGGACTAGAAATAATATGCGTTGGTAACGGCTAGTGGCTATTTAGTTAAGAAAGTCGAGATGTTAAGTCATGCATGAATGTGACTTCAAGAAACCACGCTGTTTAAATGTCACAACCTCATTTCCCAATATATGTTGTAGAACACATTCTTAAACTATTTTCTCCATATTTCTGATAGCTAGATCAATGAGAATCCAATAGAGTGGATATATTCTAGTGCATGAAACAGAGGCTGGTCAACGCAATATACTGAATTCGTATCCTTAGAGAGGTCCATCGGCGGAAGATGGCTAGAGGCAAACATGTTGTCGAATAACTCACATATTTCTTGTGGATCGTCGTAAATCTTACTGTCATGGATGAGAGTTAATGTTATGGTTCGGCTGGTTTGTGACCCTCTTTAAGGGTTCCTTGTATGCATTTACTTCAGACCGGCTAGCTAGTACAGTATCTTTAGCTTAGCATCTCTTGATAATGAGTGATGATATTAAGAGTACCATGAATGGATTGCAGTACGTGAAAGTCATGGTGTCCAGTGTATTTTGTCGATAGCTAACGCAGCTACCGACACCTTTTCTGGGGAAGAAAATACTTATTTAAGATTAGTTTGGTTGATATTGAGGCAGTTATAGAGATTCGGGTGGTGTAAACTGACTACTAATTGTAGATCTGATGTTTGGAAGTAGTCGCTCCGATCACTAAATCCGGTTAATGAACACAGTAACTCCCAGCTCGTTTTGGTATATCCTCTGCACTTCATGTGTAGGGGAGAAAGAGCATTATCTGAAGTTTCGGTTGGAGAAAGAAGCGGGAATGCCCACAGTACCGTCTTACGACCCCTTCCTGATGTTTCAGGGACTCAACAGTTTGAGAAGACTGGTGTTTTGGTCAAATACTGTCCCAAGTACTTCACCGCCTTTAGCTGGGGGCCAGTGGTGAAATGCTTTCCTTCAAATATGTGCAGCATGCCGAGAGAGTTATCAAACCTAGCAGGTTCTGCACACTTTTTTTATTCAACTGCCTGTAAGTTGAAGTCCCTGAATAAATTTTCTTGTTCATATGTAAGACATGAAGCATATTCGACAGCATAATTCAGCATGGTTTCGTCCACACAGAAAGCTCCAGGTCGTCTGTAAATAGAACTTACCAGCGATGTAGCAAGAAAAGCAATATTTGGTGACTCACAGGCATTACTTCTGTCTTTTGAAGTCTGCCAGAATACACAAATTGTTTGGTAAGTATAATGATTATTCACCCTCCCACTTACTTCCGTAGTCGCATCTGAAGTACGTTCACATTTGTATATTTATTTCTATGTCTGGTTCACTAGAATGACAACTACGTTCTTCGGCTACCATAATAGGTGGCTTGGGATTAAGAAGAATTACATAAGGGTTTGAATAGTAGAAGCGTATAAATGTTCCAAAGTCAGTGAAGAGGGCCAGAGGTATGTCGACACCCCATGACCAATATGAATTGGTGATACCGCAATAAATGAGTGGCCGTTATTTTCAGTTTAGATGATTGCAGTGGAAGATGGTTGTAATAAGGAACAGTTAGGAGTGGATATAACATTTAGTTCACCCCTGATATGTGCTAAGTTTGGGTAGGAAGTTATTTTGTTCTCAAGAACGTTTTCCAGCTCAGGTCTCACGAGTTGCAATGTCACTAGCGGCCAGGACTGCTGAGTTAAGTGTCCTCAGTTTGCCCCAAGTCTGTGTAAACGTCATATAATCATCCGTCGCGGGCGCAGAACTGGACACCCGGCCTAAGAGGTTGGCGGCAGCGCTGCCTCCTACTCATCTGCAGTTTGATGAACACTGACGTACATACCTATGACAAAAAACCAACCAAAATACTCCCGAAAACTCGAAAAATGGTAAAATATTAGCATTAATAAATTCAACCGAACTCAGAACCGAGATAAGGCCTCAAGCCCCTGATAAAAACAGAAATACACCTAAAACGGGGGTAGGCTTATGGCTGGAAAAGACTACTGCTACTGAAACTCAGGGCTTTATTTGCGTTACAGAATAGTAAAAGCTAGGATGTTGAGTCGGCGCCGCGTGCTGTTCTATGAGGTCACCTCATTTTATGCTGTACTTGAGGGTGAATAGGTTAATTTGCCGGAGACCCTCAGAATGGGGTCAACTCCAAAACCCCGTGATTTTTTCATTCAGAAACCTTGAAATTAAAGTTCCTTACACCGTCCATTAACCTCCGGAAAACTGGATAAACCTACGAAACAACATTTCTGTTGACACAATCAAAAGATGTTTGTTGGTCACACACTAAAAAAGGCTGCAGAAGAATGTACGAGGAGAGCTCTAACGGATTAACAGTCTTAAGAGCTAACCTAGCTCACAAATCTTGAGACAAGTTGTGCGAAAACATCCAAGGTTTAGAATGGACGACCCCAACAGCTGCAGATCTAGATCAAATGGGATAATATGCTAGAATCACAATGTTTTACCGGAATCTGGAATACTCAGTGCCAGTTCTAATATAGGTCCTCAGGAAGAATTACAAGAGAGGTACTTGCAGCCCACATTTCAAGTAACCTCAAAAATGGAAAATGATGTAGTAAGAGTCTGCATCAAAGAATGAAGTTTCACTGTCGGCAGTTGCAGTTCTTACAGAAATAACCGATGGAATCACGATGAAGGATGAGTGTATATCATATGTACTGAACTATATAGTGTATAATTCGTAGATTCTGTTTAGGCCCGAAGGTCAAGTATTTCAACCTGCTAGCAACGGTAACCCAAAAATGCTTACGCGTGGAGACCAGACCAGGAATAGAAAACTTCATGACAATTTACATGAAGGGGGCAGATTCCATTGGAGTATCTCTTATGTCTGTTTAGCCTTTACCTGTCAGACGATAAAACTGCTCCACATGATTTGCAATATTTATAACTCACGAGACCTTGTGTAATTCAGATAATAACCATACAAAGGCCATTGTAGTAGCAACTGCGCATCAAGAATAATCATTTCTTGGCTGGCCGTAAAGCAGATACCATATGAGTGGGTAAAAAGTAGCAGGTTATTCAGAAATGTTCTAATTGTAGGATCAGCTTTGATTGCTGCATCTGAGGCAATAAAATCATTGCCACAACATATGCAGCATATGCGCCACCAAAAAATAAAAGCAGGTGCCAGACAGTCACGCTCCTCAGATAAATTTCCTGAAATTACAAATTCACGTAAAAACCACTTAAATGTATGCTTTCTCAGAGAAGTATACCTATGACTACCCTCCTTAAAAAAAAATAAGATGTCCCATTATGAAGCAGCTATGTAATATGAGTAAAGGAACCTGAACAAAAGCATGCGAGTTCCACTATCAGTTGTCACTTGATTCCACAGAAGCTAACAAATGGGGTTAAAAGTCTGTCGGTTACTGGGTGGAAGTGTAAGAAATACGTGAGTACGAGAATGCTAACAATCACCCCAAATGTTAATACATGAAGGCTGCTGATATAAAAATCAGTCAAAAACAAATCCAACAAAAGATGCATGCATTAAACTCATCATAAAAATTCAGTGCCTAAATAATATCTGACAAGGGTTTTAATGGCGTACGAGCACGAAGGTTTGTGTTACTTGCTCACACTCCCGAACCCATAAAAAAGTACACCCAATGATTCTTTACGTGTAGCTGCATGTAAGTTTGCCACTGCCGTTAAGGCGTATGTTTGCAAGAATCCAACTTTTATCTTTATAGAATGGGTTTCACAAATCTGTTTTTTACTGAGTACAACATAACTGATCGACAGCTTCATAACCACATCTTCCTGTGCTGAAATAAATTGATCGTTTCTACTTTTTTCCAGTTTATTGTGTTCATTATCTCCACTCAGGAGTACCGAAAAGCAGCTTTGGTGCTGCTTGGTCGTTATAGACCAGAAGATTCCATTTCGTTAGGCGAGGTGATATAGTGCACCAAATCTATCTCCACATAAGTAGAGTAATAAGAGAGTCGCTGTGTTCGAAAACGCTACTTCTGTTAGTAGAACTCTGGCTGATGCCTTTCTCCTACTCCGCCATAAGAAATTCAGCAGACAGAATTCCAGAAACAACAAGGTTTTCAGAAGTAAATGGGATTTGCCCTTTTATTCCATATTTGCTAATTCATTTCCCTCCTCAAAATCACAGCGATCAACTTCCGTGTGCCTGATCATGACGAATCTGTTTTTATATCAAGCTCCCCTCTTAACCACTTTAAATTCTGGATGGAAGTATATTTACGCGTCAATCCACACAATTCGGTATCCAAGAGTTCCCAATAAATGAGGTGCGTGGAACTGAGTTCTGAACAGTTTCGTACTCACTCACCCAGAATGCACGGTCCAGCGTCTTCTGGCCATTATTTTTGATTGCACCACAACCTGATCCCTTCTGTTTTTTTATCACTGAACGAATTTCCCTCGCGAAATTGTCATACACCAACACCAGGAAAATCTGTGTTACGGCCGTCTATAATTTATTATCTTTAGTGGCTCAGTGGATGGGTAAGTGGTAGACAAATATGTAATGAGATATTTTCAGGGCTCCGACATCGAAAACGATCAAAACTATGTGGTTTTTTAAAGTAAATGTTACGTGTGCTACTTGTTTGAAAGTTTATTGGGACCAACCCTGTCAAAATGATGCGGTTATGAATGCAATCAGAGACTGTTAAATCTATGGCCGCCTGGGACCAGCAGGCAAAAGCCAAATTTCAAGAGGGTGTTTGACGCAGACGCATGGTGACTGCCCAACTGGGCGGCATGAGTAGCTATTGTGGAATCTAAAGCGATGAAAACAAGACTGACCAAGTGATGCGAAAAACCTTAAAAATACTATTAAGAAACATGGCATTTGTCTTAAGCATTACTGAGAAGGAACAAGTGACGTATCTTGACGAAGCTTCAGCTGTGTGCTGAGTAAAACTACCGAAGGAAATATTGGTAATGATTCACAACGAATTGTGACAGCCAAGCAGTGAGCATGGTGTGATGCTGAAAGGTTCCCAGACCACCCTTGAAACGTGCTAGTTATTACTTAATCAAGAAATGATAATAATGAAATCAATCACAGATCGAGTTAAGCTATGAGACCAACTGGAAGAGCGGTAACCGCCAGACCATCCGGCCCTTAATCCAAAAAAGCCGGAAAAGTTTCTCTTCGTATTCTCTTGCTCAGCTAAGCACGAGAATCGCTTGTTGAATAACCTGCTTCTAAGTGGCCTGGACTGTGCCCTCGTTAGTCGAAGTGTTGCTAAGTTTTCGTAAAGCTCAGATAGCTATTGCTATCAGCATACAGTAGATGTTCTCGCAGGTGAGGGCGTCCGTTAACAATCGACATTACTTCATAGTTTTGTGGTTTAGAAGAGGCTAGCACGCTTCCTAAAAGAACATGATGGTTCACACCTTCAGCGCCAGACCACCTTATCTTGCACATTTCGCTATGCATAATACCATAATGAGCTTTAGTCCTGTAGCCTCCTGGGTAAGAAAAGAGGTTGACGAGTGTTTCTATGTGAATGATTGTTTGGTATCACCAGATGACCTCGATACTCTAAGTGCCCAGTATCTGAATGTCACGTGATAATTGCTCAAACCGGGTTAAGACTGACTCGCCGGACGTCCAGTACTATAAAAATTCCGTGTGCCAACTGTTTGGTTTGTCTAGGAAAGAGAGCACACTCTTGCAGCGAGACAATAAAAACGAAACTCATGGATTTGATGTTGGGGAATGCAAAGGGCCGTTTACTCAGGGTGGCGTGCTTTCAGTTTTATCTACTGGGGCGCTACCCCCGAGGGTCACTTTTCAGGATACTTGCGAGAAGGTGTAAAGTGAGGTGATCTACTGGACGACGAATTGGCCCATTAGTGGGAAGGTGGGTTTGGAGTCGGGAATCTGCCTGTTAACCTTCAATCCCCTGAAGTTTGAGACAACCACAGGCCGCGAGTACCCTGGCATATACTCAAGGTCATTTCCGGAACACGATGCAGACGTTCGATTGACGACAGGAAGGTCAACGGTCACGCCAATGGAGACTATCTCTACCTCTTTATTGAGGCCGAATGCCGCTGTGTTGACCGTAAAATTTTCAGCAAGATGCTAAACCCCGGAGAGATTCCGTGGGTGTAGCATACTACATTCTTAAGCAGTCAACTCGATACTCCTGCTTCTTGTCCTAGACGGTAACGAAAAGAAGTGACAAGCGTGGAGAGGTAGTGTTATATTTCATCTGAGCTGAAGCCGGCCAGCAGATCCGCTCTCGGTAGGCACTACCGGCCCAGTCGCTTCTGAGACCCGGTGGTAGAAGGGCCCAGGTTTCCTCGAAGAGCCAGTACGTGTGTGATCAAAAACCGGGACTCTGGTTGGTGGACACACTCTGTGAAACTGACTCATGCTGGTGTCGCTAGTATTTGCCTGCCTCCTTTGGAAGCTATTTTATGTGACTTGGTGGGGTAGATTTGTAAGATAGTCGATAATCATGTGTGATTGGATAGATGGATCAGATGTTGGACCTCCGAAGGTCTGCGATAGACGAAAAGCAGCAATGACTTCAGGGTACCTTGTTGGAGACTTATGTAGATGACTAATGAAGATAGTCATGATTGAAGAATTCGGAGTTCAAGTCGGATTGATTGGTGCCAGTTGCTTCTTATGAGATCGCTGGGTTGGGTAGATGCTGACACATGTTGGGATCATTCTACGATACACAACGTCCGATTTCGCTTCCAAACAGCCGACTCACCACTGGTATCTTAACTGGAGATGATCACTCGTTGGAAGGTCACCGCGGCCCACCGCAACTGTCATACGGTAAAAGATGGAAATGCTGGTTAACCAGAAGTGCAGCGATAGCATAGTGAGCAGTTGACAACTGCATGGACTGCAGGCGAAGAAATGTATATCTAGACCGACAGGTGACAGCGGCACTATCGGCCTAACGAGTGACTACAGAAAACTGTCCTTCTGAGTAAACAGGTATACCTTAAGATTCAGATTTCAAATTTGTTGTTTGAGGATAGAAGGCTGTGAGCCCGTGCTAATCCTTCCCTAGTAGATTTATGTGCTTGTCCACCCCCTTTTTCGAAAGAGTCAGTTGATAGTGCGGACATCACTTCTTCCGGGAGCCGGATCCTAGGGTTGATTACTCGACGCGAGAACCAGTACTCTAGGAAGACTACGTTCGCTCTTTGCTTTTGTATCCTGCTACTATGTCCTCCGAGGTGTTCCGACCTAGCGGGAAGGGAAAGAGAAGGCAAATCAGGTCCGAAGTCATTTCTTAGAATCCTGTGAAGCACAATAAGGTCTCCCCTCCGTCTGCAATAAGATAGAGCCAAGAGGCTCAGCTCCCTAGGTCTATCTTCATGGACGAGGCCGGCCGTCGTAGGGATCATATGAGTGGCTGCCCCCTGAACGTTTTCCAGAAGGTGTGAGTCAACTATCAGGTAAGGATTTGCAGCCTGTGTACAGCCTTCTAGTTTAAGCCTAGCTGAGGATGTGTGTAAGATGGCGAACATATCACCACTCATATTCGTAAACGTTCTACGTAATGCCCGAGGTGTCCTAAAACTTCGAGCTGCTACCAATCGACGGTGTGCGGTGGTTTACAAGTCATGACTCACCACTATACTTGGTGAAACAAGCAAGAAACACATGTAACGGATATGCATATATTTTCCCTTGTCTGGAAATTAGAGCTACGAGTATGGAGATATAATAATAATAAGGTTCACACTTTTTTGCCAATTTACGTAGTTTGATCTTGAGGGGACTTATCAGCCGGGGAGGTACGCCGAAAATAATGTTCACTGATACATGGAGTGACCACGTTAGTAGACACACCGAATAGGGAAGATATTTTCAAAATCCTCAGGGAGAAACACAAGGGGAACTAGTGAAGAGGGACATAAAACACAGATCCAATCCACTATGACCCAGTGATCTCGGTGGCTTGTTGAGACCGGCAAAGGGGTATAGATCTTCATGACTATACAACTCAGTATGAGCAATGAAGAGTTGGGGGCATTTTGGTGAGACAGGGAATTTTGAATGACAGGTAGCTTTAACCCATGAGAAGTCATGAAAAGGATCTTGATGCTCAAACTCGTAACAAATTACGGCTGCTGAGATGGAATATGAAGCTCGCGACGAGAGAGAAAAGGGTGGACCTACTGAAAAAGATATCAGGGTTCTACCAGAGTGGACCTTATTTCTCCGACTCTCTTTGAAAGGGTAGAAGATCGGGATGACTTAACAAATACTCTTTTTGATCAGCAAAAGTTCGAAGATTTTATTCATCAGTTAAGCGGTGGTGGCTTTGCGTTCAACTACAGATACCATTCATCTTTACCACCTTAGTTTAGGGGACCAAATAAAGAAGAACTATAGCTTGAAAGGTTTTATGTCCAGGTTGAGCTGAGAAATCCCAACAACTATGGTTCTTCACTTATACAAGAGTTAACTCATCGCCCTAGTGGCTACCCACTGGCCTTCAACGAAGTCTCAGAAGAAGTAGCGGCTGAACCAGTTTGTTTGGGCGATCAAGAAGTTCATGTTGAACCTGCACAGGTGCTGTTAGAATGGAATACCGATGATGTTATCCTTAGGGACGTACACTCCGGAGAGGTTTCCAGATTAGTCAAAGTATTGGGTTTTCCTATATGCCAATCGAGTATTCTGGCGAAGGCCATATGCCTTAGTCTATAACGCCAAGGATGCCGCCAATTCTTACCAAATAGCCCTGTCAAACGGGGGTTGGAAGGCTTCTCACCACCTCACAAGTGTCTGACCACCAAGACGAGTGGGTCTCACGATGCGAGATATCCCATCGATCCCTTCTTCACAGTTCCGAAAAATACCACTGCACTGACTACCAGATGGTAGAGAAATCCCTCGGAACCACTCCTCTTTAGGATATGCCCCAACATGTTTGGCGCTACTGTGGCCGGTGCCTTTGTGAGCAAGCGGTCCCCGGGAATTGTATAACCCCTGTCGATGTGCGCCATCCTCGTGTAACTGTCTCCAGTAGGATGGTAACAGTATGAAGATATCACCAATTTATGAAGAAAAAGGGCTGTGATTAAAACGTACTGAATCGCGGAAAATCTGAACACTAAACGAGCAAATGATTTAACTAAAAAACCCGAGAGCCTACGTTGCCTGGATGGCCCTTAACGATTGCAAATGGACCCAAATGAAGAATACACGCTGCTGATTCTCAGAAGTCCGCCGTTCTTCAAAAGAATGAAACTGCTGCCACCAAATTTACTATCCAATGGGTAAATTTACCGATCCCATTCACTCATTAAGCTCTATCACCATATGAACGCTTATCTATCCGCTAAGTAGTCAAATTTCTGAACAGTCGGAATGATACCAAAAGTTTGGACAAACAGCTAAACCTAAGAGATCAACCTACCCATTGACTCTAAAGGCAACACATTCCCAATAATGCTACGTTACAGGTTTTTCCAGTACTTCATCTGACAGCGAACATACTCCTTCATAATATTACATGCTTTGACGTGAATAATTTGCAAAACCCACTGCCACTGGCCCGCGGTTCCTCAAATGTTTATTCCCTCGCACCACAAGATCGAATTCTAATGGTGCAAATCTACATTCCGGTGAACGATAGCGACTGAAGGGTGGGAGATGCTTGAACATTGATATTGACTTGGATTACCTGATTGATTGGAAACCTACTGATTCCCGAAATCGTCAGCACATTTTCTTTTGGTCACTGAAGCTATTGGCATAAGAACTTATGGTAAACCATACGTCTATCCGGCGCAATATGAGACCTGAAAACGAGTCAAACATGTTAACCACTTGTAACGCAGACTTGGAATATTGCGAAGCCATGACGTCACCAATTGTGACAGAATGTGACTGAAAACGGCCCGAAATCAAACACTGAGTAAGTACTGAAGGGAGATATTTCCTTAATGGTTCCTTGACCAGCAGACACTTGATATCATAAAAAAATAAATAAACATTCTACTCCTAGTTTAGGAATTTGATGTAAAAGAAGACAGTTTAAAGGCATCATCAAACTGATAATGGTAGACAAATCTCCAACACTTGAGGTGTCCTGAATGATACAGAAGAGAGGACATTCAAGTTTATCATAATATGAAGTGTCCACAAACTGTGAAAGGAATAGGAAAATATCATGTCAAACTTGGCATCCGCTAATTAGGGTATCACGAGACTCATAAAGGAGACAAAAAGGTCCTACCATCTTTCTCATATGCAGATTATCAGTTAGTTATCTCTTATGATATACCTGACCAGTCCCAGTCAATAAAAGAGTTCAGAAAATCATTAATTACAGAAAGGCCCTATGCGACGGTGATCCTTTTTACTCCTGGGCTAGCAACTAGACCTCTGGGTGACTATTACGCTCACTGCAACCACTAGTAACATTCAGTGTGTGCATGGATGATTTGGATCGATGCAGCAGGGTCTGTGAGCCTCCGCGCCTCCTGCATCGGATAGCAATGGCCTTATGTAATCTGGTTGCTATCACCTCCGAGTGGGCGAAATTTTTGTCCAGCCATCTACAGATATAGTGAAAAGCAAAGGTTGTTCTCAGCGTAAACATTGCTGCTGTGCAACCAAGTGTCAAATTCCGCGAAAAGAGCAAACAAAAGCCCCATCGCTTGCTCAAGCCGCTATCACCGTACACAGACAGGGCGATAATCGGAGCAAAAAGTACCAAGGATGCCAGAAACTGTCATGTTGTGGATGTTTCGCTGAAAGTTGTCAGACGTCCACAACTTTCCATGGTCCCTTGGACGTTTTTACGCTGTTGGTGAGCGCAGCAACGCTCTGTGTTGTGAGGAGTACCACTGAATGCCTTAACGCCATAGTGAAGGGACCCGGGAGTAAGATAGAGAAGCTAGGGTCACCCTGCTCCGACGTATCGCCGAAAATCGTAATCTTCACAAAAGCCTGCTACCATCTGGTGCTAGAGATATCAAAATGAGTGTAGACTGTCTACCTCCGTTCTGGTATGAAAAGAAGCACAAAGACGGCAATGGTACAGAAGTATTCATGAGTAGCCAGTTCGAAAGTGGACGCACTACGGACACTAATGAAAGAGCCTTGAAACTCAGTATGGTGTCACTTCTCAACCAGAAACACCAAGTACTTGACAAAGAAAGTTTATCGAACTCTTGATAACAATATGGAAAAGAAGCAACAACTGCTACAAGAAGTACTCACGGTGGCGACTACAGGGATTTCAACGCCTCGGCAGTCCACCTAAGATAGGAAAATACTTCACACGGCCGGGTATTTAAGTGAAACTTGCCAGATGCCAATTTATGTCTAGGCTGCGTGAGAAGATGGGGAAGAGAGATGCCGGAGATCAAACGGAAAACCACTGAAACAGGATTATCTTGTCACTTACTGTCAACTTCAGGTAGACAATGCACGCGGCAGCTACCGCGCCATGGTAATTTCCGATCAGAAAAGCAGCGAAACAGTCGCGATGGACGAACCCTCGTCTCTACCTCCACTACGGCAAAGCAAACTACGCGGCCATGAGCCAGTCTCCATCAAGACCACCATGGCTTCAAAATTCGCTTGTGGTATCCTCACGCTTGAGAAAGGATATAGTTACCCTAGAACAGGTGCAGAGAAGGGCTACAAAGAAAGCAATTGGGTTACTGCACAAACCGTACCCAGATCACTTGGTTGCTCTTAAGCTGCATCCGGCACAACACCGGAGGATCAGAGGGGATATGATCATGCTGTATGACATCACCCACAATCCCCTTCATCCTAAAAGACCCCCTCTTGGCTTTAACCGGAGACGCCAACTGAGGGGTCACCCGTTAAGAATAAAGAATGAGAGAGCACGAACAACGATCCATGCTAACTCGTTGGCAGTTAGGGTTTTTTAAACTATGGAACTCCCTTCCCTCAGCAGTTTTTACAGCCTTATTCCCTAGTACCTTCTAAAGAGGGTTAAACGTACTCCCTAAGTTTTGTGGCACCGACGAACTGTACTCCAGAAGCTTTCCGTTATCTGCAGATCAAGTGCAGTAATACTACATTCAGACCAGATTTATTAGCAATCGAATATCTCTGTCCTTTCATGTTTTTCGGAACTAGGAGAATAATTGTGACCATTCCAAATCCACAACGTACTCCAATAAGACAGATGTAAAACCCAAGGAACCGGCATCCACTAATTCTACAACACAAAGTTTGAAGTTTTGAAAGCGAAACAGTAGGCTTCTCTTGTAATTCAGGAGGAAAGTTGGTCACAAAAGAGAGCTGTCTAGAGAAGATTCAGATGATAACACACTCACTTCTTTAAGGAATCCACACAGGATTGGGGTCCGAGAGAACAAAGGTCAGTCCAGGCACATCACAACCAGAAACTCGAGGTAAAGCCAGGGGTCCTATATTGGTCAAGAGTGTGAAGAAAATTTACCAGGCAGGGAGCATCACTTCAAAAGACCTGGGCATGGATTTCCTCCCTGGGCTAGGGGTTGACGTTTCGTGCCACCGTTGAAACACCTGACAAAACACCAGCCTGCTGTGTGTGCCAACAGTCCGAGTAGTTTCCACGCGAGTGGGAACGCTCCATACTTTCCCTCATCTTCAAAGAAAAAGACCAGTAGAACTCAGGTTACGGTCAACCTCTCAAGCCCCTTGAAGCAGTGCAGGAATTAGTGGAAGTTCTGTTGGACGACTACACCCGAAACACCGGAACCGCAAGCATCCACTTTACAAGGCCGAACACGGCTTCAGAAAGAGTAAGTTCTGTGCGTCTGACGCCCTAGAGACATATGTGTTATGATTTGGAGACCAATACATGCTATGGCCTCCAACGACGTACAGATATTAGCTGTCAGTCACCAACATTCAGCAGATTCCTAGTTGATCGCCCCACCCGGCTTATTAGTGGAAAAGACACGATGGACGTGTGGAAACGTATATTAGGGTCAAAAGACCGAAGGTCCAAACAAGGAAAATACAGCCAATATACAGATAGTTCACTGTTTAAAATAATAATACTGGTTGGCTGATCCAGAGTCTGTCCAACTGCAGATGTGAAAACATAAAATATATTTTGATTGGTAGCTCTCCAGGCAACGCTTTTCCTTCCATCGCCATACCAAGATCAACAACGACGTTTCGTGCAAAACTAGGGCCCCAACACCATGAAAACCAGATAGTTAGCTGAGACCTTCAGGTCCCTGTCCACGTAGATTTTTGGGATCTGGTCAAGGCTTTTGGCTACCTAGTGAAAACTTCTCGGTGGGATCTTAGTGGATAGTTTCTGTCCTTGCTATGGGACTGCTTAGGCGACAAAGAATTCTGTACCAAAGTTAACAGGGTATTGTCATGCTAAAGATAATCATCCTCCGGAGTTACATATGGGAAACTTCTGCCGCCAACGAACTGCCTTCTATAGGGTCTAAGTTTTCCAGTTTCCGCTGCAACTGAGGAACAGTAGGCCGTGGAGGCTCATGCAGTCTGAAAGGAACTCCAGTACACTACAAGATTACCATGGATGCTGTATCGATATGAGACCTTGGCCCTCACACTCTTGGTTCTCTTAATATGCGTAGCGAATCGAAGTTCAATTGCAGGATTCTGACTAATCTGACTGAATTGGTCACATAAGTATTACTCAGTAGTCATTATGGCGACTTATCAGAAGGGAGGTTGAATTTCCCAATAAGAGTTGGGAACATATATGCGATCACATTTCATCTCATTTTACGTCTGCAGCTACTGGGAATCACTAGCAGCTGGGAGTGACAGCCACTATCTTTGCTGATCTCTAAGACAGGTGTGCGATGACATATTGTGTCCATCGAATTAGGACACGTACTAGGCTTGGGAAAGCAACTCGCATCGCGCTATCGCTTTAGTTACTTTTATCTTTATCCCAATCCACTTATACTGATATTGTTGTTATTGGCATGATCCATTATTCTGCCTTAAGAATGATAAGTCACTTGCGTATATTTCAAACGAATGTAGTAAGCATCATAAAATATTTATCAGATAAGAATACTTGATGTTTGCTCTTCTGCAGAATAGTAAGACTGGTTTATTTACCAGAATGGTTGTTATATGCCTTGAAATGAAGTTTGAAAACTTTTAATACGCCTCTAAGCATCATCAATACTAGGTTTAATCTGATGTTCAAGCTGTTTGAACGTTGTCTTGAAATTAGGTGTTAACTCTTTTGTTACACTGGCTAGGGCGCTTTTCTCAACTTGACCAATAAGAATCGAGATCCCTAAGTACACTTTCTGAAGGTCAATGGATTTTCTCATTGCATTGTCTTCCTCGCTTCGCTAATTGATTGTTGTCTATTAGGTGTAATCTGTCTTCAAATCTGAAAAGTGATTAGGTGAGGGGTATTTTAGGTCCACATACATCATATTGTACTAAATATTTCCTTTTCTTAGTTGAACAGAGCAAGGCTATGAGAAGCATCTCGTCATACTGGACAAGCAATTAGTCGTAGTTGAGTTTATTGGAGTATTAAGGATCTTCCAATGAAAGTTGTACGACTGTTTGATGTGACAGATAACGAGAGTTATTTTTGTGAATAAAACTAGGGTTTCGACGCAGTTACACTGTCTTAATTAAGGGTCAAACGTCACACAGTATGCCATACCTTTGATGAAACATGGTTGTCGCGATGAATGCCGGGAAGAAATTGGTTAAGAATGGCCTCTATGAGCATCATCGTATGATATTCTTTTAAAGGAGGGGTAGTATTTTCACGCATTCTTGGGCTAGTGGTTTCCCAAATAAAGTCCATTTGATTCCCGAAGTGCCGGAAGCCTAACTTTTTGCCTGTCTGTCCGACTACTTAGTATTACCCAATTTACAACAGTGTTACTGAGTGGATCTCTTTCTAAAGTCAAAAGAACTTTTCGGGTCAAATCACCCGTGTTTTGTTGAAGACTACTGTTGATCTCACGCGTTTTCAACTTTGTCGCTGAGCTGAACCTAAAGCATGTAGTTGTAATTAGTCTGCAGAACCAGAAAAACCGCACTAGTTTATTAAGCGACCTCAAATATCTGTTATTATAAGAGTTGATTATCATGTTACGAAAGTGATGGGAATACTGTTGAAGAATGAAACTACTAGTTTTATCTACAACAACTATCCACTGCATCGGCATATTTCTATTTCCCGATAATGGATCAAACCCGTGTATGTTGTATTTAGCCTTACGTATATTGAGATGAAATCACTTCCAAAAAATGTCGAGTGCTTGTTTCTGTTCTGTTTTCACCGACTGTCTTCCACACTACTATTGTTTGTTAGGTAGATAATTATAAACCTATTTTATTGATGAAAAGATCGTTTGTATGGGGCATCAATGTTGGGAACTTATAGTAACATCTGTGATTGCTCTATTTAGATAGTGATGAATCTGTTATTGACGAAGTAAGACTAATATTGAGGTTGAGGAACCTATGAATAACTTCGTTAAGTTTTGAGTCGTACTTTCAACAGTTAATTCTCGGCTGAATTATATGGGATAGTCAGTGTTCGCCATTCCTGAAGTTAGGTGAATGTTTGACCGATCTCTTCACTTCTCGTCGTTTGATTGTCCCAGATGTTGTTCTACCTTAAGTATTTGTATAATCCTTAAAGTTATCGCTTATGTTGTGATGGGACCTTTGATAAGTGGTTTCGCTGAAGTAGTACGTTTCCTAAGTAAGGATCTATTGTCATTGCTTTATTGTCATAGCTTTAAACGTATCTGAGATTCTTTCCCCAGTTTGTGTCAGGACTATTGTTAATCCATACCTGTTTTTGGCGCTTGGCATATTTCAGATTTGTGTGCAATATATGTTTGGACAAGCACACAATAGGTAAACTGGGTTCATCACTCTCGTTTGTTGTGATATATATATATATATATATATATATATATATTCATGTATGAATACAGTTAGACTATTTTGAAATACCTTCTCGTTTTTTCTTTACTAACGGTAATTTTGCAACGAAAGATGACTAATCATTTGCCATAACTGTCCGCAGAAGATTCAGTAACGTGTATGGTATTTCCAGACAAACAAAGTCAAGGTAGAACCTCGTACAGAAGTGTACAGCTTCAAGTTGCTACACACCACAGTAGTATGCAAAGAACAAGTGGATAGAAAAAGACATATCGAAGTTGATGAAAGAGTATGGTGGGAGAAAAAAGTGAAAATGGAGGTTAGTCAGAACATTCCATCTTTAGACGATGTCAACGAGTGAATGGATCTGCGCCATTGTGACCGATTTTCAGCCATTTCACCAAGAGCCTTCAGCTATTGACTTCTATGGTCTCGGTGATCCCAACGAGGTAGAGTACATCTCCCTACACGTCTCAGGCCAACAGTCACAGACTTCACTGACTGGTACCACATCTTAATCTATCCATCCTGAAGCTTATTCTGTTCTGACCTCTAAGAGCACTGCGCATCGAGGTATGTGAACTTGGCATGAGCAACACATCTTCAAGCTAGTTCGGTCCCTGGAGGTTCAGAACCTCAGCAGCGTACTTGCCTGTCTTCCCTGGTTCCTGGCCGATAACTGCACCCTAATGTGATGGTCTGGGTTGCATATCACAGTGACTCAACGACCTACACTGGCTTCACAGCTTGTTTTTTGAGATTTTAACATGTCAGAAAAGTCACTTGGAGAGTTGTTAGATGGAAATACTGATATAGAATAGATAGCTACCCTATGATGGGTCCGACGGTCAAGTCGTATTGCTGGTTAAACAGTTTAGCAGCAGTGCGATGTTTCCCCTCGATGACCAGCAGTTCCATGCTATCTCTGTCTATCCTTTGAAATGGGGGGGGGAGGGGTTTGCGAACGTCCGTATCAAGAACAGCCCACGTCTGTATTCTTCCAACACTAGCGATGTTGGTTCTTCTTGTCTGACACTGGGACAACCGGATCTCAAATCAGCAGCTTCGAAAAGGTTGTATGTAACAGGCCTCAAACAGATGTCGAATGGGTTCTGCAGTCCCAAATCGTTTCCTCTCTCTCTTTCAGGTTTCCTGCGAAAACAACGTCCATTTTTTTAGCAACCGGAAAGTACCAACCGCCCGCAGGCTTCGAGTAGTAGGCAAAACGCAATGAAATATAACTAAACTTTAACTTAGTCTCCACGCTCGCCTTCACTTCTTGATACCAACACTACACTCCTTACAACTTCGACCTCACTTTAACCACTGCACACGGAAAACCTGTATAAAGCCTATTTTACAGCTGGTTTTTCGAAAACAAGTGACTGAATGTAAAGCTAGGCAGAAATAGTGACTTTACTAGGTTGATGCACAGTAAACTGACCTTTAACTCTGTGTACGGTGTTTTTGGATCTAAATGTCAACCGTCTACCCAAACCAAAGGGATTGGCATCCATTTGAGACTTGTCGCTTAGTAGTGACAAATTGCGTCTCAATACCAAATCATACATCACAAGTGCAAAGTTAGAGAAGATGGTTTGGATGAACTCATCACTCAGTTTTTTCAGCCATTCGGAAATTTAATTTTTGACTGAATCCCTTCCGTTTTTCAAATAATTTAGAACTATTGATGAGAAATTCGAGGTTAGTGGTTGCGTATGAATATCCGAAGTTGTGAAGAAGTTGTCAAAGAGTATCCTACTAGAATCCACTTAAGTGTGTACCCTGTTATGTAGTAAGTGTACTATAGGGTCTGAGTTAAATAATGTCATTTGCATGTAGTTCCAGTAGTAAGAGACAAATCCGTTTGAAGCATGAGTTTTGTTGTTGAATTTCTTCAATTTAATGTCATGACAGTATTTCTAACGACTGGTACGCTATTTAGCTATAACAATACTTCAAATATTGATGTGTGTTTTTGTTGTATTCTACAGGTTTCACGAAGCCAGTGGTGTTCGAAAGAGGTCGATATCAATCAGGTACGTATTTAGTAGTTTCAAACTTGTTCTTCATTTTCAGTTATAATTTGATCTCGTTTGTTTTCACCACTGATTAACAGATTTCGATGATCTTTTTTATTCATGGCCATCTTTTAGCATCAAAGAGTAGGGTACTAAGTAGCGATGACTTTATCACCGTTAGATATAATTTTGGGATGATGCTTACCCGTATAAGATTAAACACTAAGATGGCAGACTAAGTTGAAGCAATTCATCTCCGATTTGCCTCATGTTCACAGCTTTGAAGGACATCTGTTACTACTGTGCAATATTTGTTCAGCTTGAAGGTCACCGGTTTACACATATGTCTGCTTCGATGTAGGTGAATTCTATGATGGTTGCTTTCTACTCAATAGGACAAATAAAAACCTCTTAGGCTGCAGCATAATTGCGTATCAAGTCAGGTCGCCACTCTTCAAAGTGCACAATGGTGAAAGTCACTAGAAGAGGCGACAGCAGTGAAAGGTATTATCTAGAACCATAAAAGGCTATAAGAGGAAAAAAGCAGAAAATCAAAGAAGCAAGCCGGCAGATATATGTATATAATATTAGTTACACGTGATTTGGATGTGTCCACATCAGTCTGTCGGTCCTTAACCATGTGAACTGAATTCTTTAACCATCTATATACGTACATCTTGTAAACTCCAGTTGGAAAGGCTAAATTTACTAGGAACAAACTTCATGGATTGGTACCATGCTTTGGTCTGTCGAACTTTAGCTATTTTTCACTTCAGTTATACTACAACTAGCGTGTCACAAACTGTAGTCAATGAGGGTGTACATCGTTGTTGAACTCGACTTATTCAAACAGTAATCTATTTCCGAAATCTAACCACAGTAATTTCACCTCACATAAGAGACAATGTCAGTCAAGATGACGTGTCCTATTCAACTCATTCCATTTTAATGGTTACTTAGACCAATAAGGCAGTCCCTCACAGCAGTACAGCAGTGTGAGCTGTGGTGCACTTCCTAAAGTAATCGAATTTCAAACAATGGGTAGCTTGTTTCAAATGCTGCGCCATCTGCTAAGGTCTGAACAACCGGGCCGTACCATAAACTCTAGCACATTGAATGTAACTCCTAGTCTAGTATGCAAACCTGTACCAAGTAGATGAGTTACACAAGAGGCGTACAAAGATATAGCCAAGTTTAAAAACAGTATAGTAGGACAGAGTGCACTGTTGTGCATTACACGACTCCTAATAGGTATTTAGATATCGTACTGATATCACAACTGGCGTGATATGAAAAAAGATAGTCAAGCGCTTTTTAGTAATCCTGACACTCCTCTGACTACTAATCCATCTACATTGCAGTATAAAAAGCTTCTACGTAGTTACTCACCTACATCACATATTCATTTACCTACCATTGGAAAAAACTCACTTTGATAAATCATGTCAAAAATAGGAAGGGCATGTGATAGGCGTTTGGATGTCAAGATTATTGGATGACTTCAGATCATGCAATTCTCACTTCTTGTTCTTCATCGTTTATCTAGTTGCTAAATATCAGAATCACGTCTTTTGGAAATGCAGAAAAAAGTGACTCCCAAGCAGTGTGAGTGATGTGGCTACTACATCTTTGTGTAAAGGCTAAACACGTTTCTTCGTGATCCATATTCCCTTGCTCATTCGTTTACTTTCGAAATACTTCTAAGACATTTGAAGGGTTTCGCAACCTAATTTATTCCAAGGGCAGTATAATTTAACTTTCTCTCCTTCGAATGAGGCATTTTTTTCTGCTCTAGAACTGTTGTAAACACGTCATAATATTAACAGTTATCTAACACCACAATAAAGCTATAGCTCGTTGATCTACACTCTCGGATCTTAACTGGTGAGTCGAAGGTTTGAATCCCGCTCTGCTTACCGAGGTTTCAGCAGCCAGGTAGTGTTATTAACCTTCACACGATAGGCGTGGCCCATCGCCCTTACTGCACAAACACGTACGTGGTTGCTGAGTGCATTTTGACTCGATTGTCTAAGTTTCAGCATCGTAATGGTCTATAATTATGTATTTTGAGTTTATTTTAGTTGTAAGTGAGCGAATTAAGAGTCTTAGTTTCAACAGTCCTTAGACAATAGATATAACTCATGGCATGAAGGTGTACACAGTTACTGAAATATATGATATTATTGATTTTCGGGTTCCTTGTAAATGTTTTCATGTGGAATTTTATATTTTCGACGAATATAAGGATCCATTTTGTCTTCAACCCTGATTTTGATGTCTGTATATTCTTTTGGCTTCTTGACTTAATGTCTTTCTTTGATTTCGTTTTCAATTTTGGTTGATAGATGTAATTCGCTTATTTATGTATTCGCTAGTCCTTGTAGTGACTATCACATTGACATGTTTACAGCTCATAAAAAGCCATAAGAGATGAACTTATTCTGCAAACGCTCTTCTTGTCTTATTTAAAACTGCTATGGCATTATGTATCGAACATTTTTCAAATCGGATAGTAGAAAGTTGTGCTCATCGATGTAAATAAACCCACATTACTGTAATGCAACAACTACCTGTAGGCTTGTGTACTACACAAACAGCAACATCAGTTGCATGAGAGCTTATAGTAATACATGCTTGCTTGAAATTGAGTTCATTTGTTCACACAGTCATCTTTCAACTAAATGGGTCATAGGTTTGAACCTCATTCCGCCTACCGAGGTTTGTGGAGCCAGATAGTATCATCGGCATTCGATTCACGAAAGTGCATGTGATTACTGAATTGCAATTTTTGAGTAAGTTTCTGTGGGTGAATTGGTTTTCAAACCTTTGACCCACTTGTGGAATGTCAGCCACCTGCAGCAATGAATTACAGCTTCAACATGTACACCAAATGCACATGCTTGATCTGACATTTGAAGTGAAAAATATTACCAGAATGTCTAACTCAAACTGGATTAGGAGTTTTCGAGAAAAGTAAGCATGAGCAAGTTATATCTCCAGATTGATAGGGCATTTGCTCAATTCCCATCCATATACCGATGATCTGGTAGCTAAATGACGTGCCGTGGCTTGAATTCTAGTTCACACATAATATGTAAACGTTTTCTAGAATGCAGTACTATAGTGGACTGTTGAGATAGATTTCACTGTAAGGTTTTGTTTTAGCAAAACCAAGTCATACATTTTTGGTCAATCATTTACCAAGTAACACATATCGAGTGTAGAAGAGATTTTTACGACAGCGATATTTTTGGTTTATGAGTCAAGTAGTTCCTTTCGTATATTTTGTGCTCTCATCCAGCAGATATGTAGAGTTTTATTTAGTGTTATAGAAGCGAAAAACCTTTGAGTCAAACTTTTAATACATGTTCTCTTATTTTAATGTAGCATTAGTTGAATAGTATTGTTAGTCATGTTATTATCGGTTTTTAATTTGTGGATTGTTATACTAACGCATATATCGTAATTCAGCTAGTTTGATAAAGGAGTAGGATAAAAAATGTATGAGAGTAATCACCGTGACATTACACTAGTTAATAAAGTTACTGTATATTGTGCTGGTCTATGTAGATGCAGAGTACCTTGTTGGGCTCCATGAGGCGTTAGTAGTGATCAGTGGGTGGTGAAAAAAAACTCAACATTTATCACAGTGATGAAGATATATGTTTATAAAAACACAATCTTCATTTACTGTGAACTTTTTCCAAGTAGAGATATATTCGTATGACATTCTTTTAATATTTGACTCGTGCTCCACACGTACACAATATTTTACAGATGATTTCAGGGGTCGCAGTTTACTCTCTCTGTATATATATATATATATATATATATATATATATATATATATATATATAATCCACGCATTTAGAGATAATTCGAATTAATTAAGATTCACCTATAACTGGAAATAAAGGCAATAAACATTATTATTACTGATAAATTTGAATACCTATCTGTTTCATAGCTTATGTTTCCTTCTCATTTGAACTTCCCATTGGAAGTGAAATTATCAATGTATGTCAATATCTGTGTTCTATATTCACTTTTTTCATGGATGTCTTGAATGTAGCTTTTTACTTTTACTTTTTACTTATTATCCTTCTAATTGACTTAAAGTACAGGTTAAACTTGAGAATACCTGGTGTACTCTCTAGTTCAACACATGAAATGGGATACTTCGCTACTAGTTTGTATGGTTACATAGTTTGATTATATTGAAGGCTGAAGAGGTTTTCCTCCACATCTCTTTTAATTTCGTCAATAGTTTCTTTAGCTTTGGTGAATCGGGTGTAAACTCAACCTCACTGCAGATATGAAAATCTCAGTTGACTTGTATTGACTGTAGGAAATAGAAATAGAGATTCACTCAACAACCACCTGAACTTTCATGTAGAGTAGACAATGAGCCATACTTCTTGTTTAATAACTAATGATATTACCTGGCTGCGAAAACCTCGGTAGGTGGAGTGGGGTTTGGATCCATAACCCACTATTTGAAAGTCAACTACCGAAACCATTGAGCCACACTTGCATACCAGCAGTAGGAGAAGTAGGCTGTAAAGCGGAACGTTCACTTTCTCAATACAATTATAAAGGATGATCGTTAGGCGTGAACAGAGTGAAAGAGCTCAAAGTTCTTCATCAGTGATGCATTCAAATCAATATTTGTTTATGATTAAACTGTGGAATATGAATTTTCAAAGTTTTATATCACTCATATACTCAGAACAGTAAGACAATCTATGAATGTGTTAAGTTCTAGAGTGACTAAAACTGGTCTATAAGAAGTCAATCGAAGATCAAATCAAGACAAAGACAGACAAGGTTGTGTAGTTATTCATAAACATATATCAGCTAGGTGTGTCACACTGTCCAGCAACAAAGTTAGCAGATAGAAGGGGGCAATATGTTGAGGGGATACGACCAGACGTAAAGTTGTAAAGCGTTCAGTTAGAAGATAAGGTAAATACTTTCTGGTCATGGTAACAGTAAATGAACTCAAAGTTTCTAGCCGT